GTCATAATCAATGGTCAAAAATTTCTAACATGAATATTTCTATGATATATCTTTTCCCTAAGATAACTTTGCTTTTCATATATGTTATCTGTAATAACCATCTCTTTACTTATGATCTTTTGATTTTGATTTTTGAATATTTGTTACATTTAACTCTATTTACATAAACTCTTACAACATCACAATGTCCAATGATTTTAGTTATGTGTTTTGATTAAAATTTTATTCAGTTATGATATACATCATAGTGAAAGTAAAGAAATAAATTGAATTGAATAATAACATTACTTGCAAATGTGGTAAAAATGTGAAATGTCTGGGTCAATGTTTTACGACAAATATAATTTGAAAACAAAAATATTATCATTTAAAATCTAGTTATCATTTTTACAAATTCAAATATAGATATACCATCAATTTAATAATAAATCTACCATTATTTCAAAACAAATCTACCAAATACAAATCTACAATTCATAGTAAAACATGTCGGATCGATGCTGGATATCCCATCAAAGATTTGTTCACCATGGCAAAGCCCATAATCTGTCAGAAAAAAATAAACAAATACTGTCATTCGTATATAAAATTCAAATATATACGACTGATAAATCTACCATAAGTAACTAATAAATCTACCAAACACATATCATTTTTCAAATAAGTTACCATTAAATGACTAATAAATCTACCAAACCACATCGTTTTACAAATAAGTCTATCATTAGATGACTAATAAATCTACCAAACGACATCGTTTTTTAAAATAATTTTACCATCAAATAACTAATAAATCTACCAAACCACATTACGTTTTCTAAGTATATCTACCATCAAATAACTAATAATCTACCAAACTACATACCGGTTTTCAAATAAATCTACCATCACACATTATGAACTTTACAACCAAAAAAAATATAATATCGATCTCCAATATATCTACCAAACTTATCTGAAAAAAAAATTAGGGTTACGGTTTTTACAAAAAACTTACGCCGCCGCCAAAAAACTTACACCGCCGTCAAGAGATCCAAGCGATTGAGCCTTGCTGCGACTTCATAGTAATGGAGGAGAACCAGAGGAAGGTCTTCGGTCAAGTGGTAGAAGGCGGAAGGATCTAGACTCGAGGGAAGCACAATGATCGATGATAGGGACAAAATCGCTGTCTAAAGGGATGTGAGAGGTGCACTCGTGCCATCGGACGATTCTTGTGATCGACGGAGGCGAGAAAGGAGTGATCCACCGCCGGAATCAAGAAATGCGGCAAAAAAAAAATTCAAATCTGGGTTAGAGAGAAGCGAGAGAGAAGATGAGAGAAAAGATAAGAGAGATAATGTTTTTTTTTCATATTAAATATTTTTTTTTTTTTTGCACTAAAAAATTATTTTTTTAATAATTTTTTTCAAAAAATAAAAAATAAAACAATTTTAAAAAATAAAAAATCGATTTTTTAAAAAAAAATAATAAATCAAAATGGTATTCTCGTAATAATATTGACTATTTGGACAAAATGGTATAAGACCAACTTTATAAGGTTAGTTTAGTAAGGTGATCAATATGTTATGCTAAGTTTGTCAATACATCAACTTTAAAGACTAGTCTGAGAAATTTTTACTTTAAATATTAATACTCGTTAAAATAAATAAGAACTCACCTTGGTTTACGCGTGTTTGTATTGGTGGTAATAGCTTGGATACAAGTTGAAAACTCATTTTTTTTATTATAGTTTCAACACTAAAATAATGTTTTTAGAGATCAAACACATAATATTGTAGTTCTTAAAACAACTTTGAAAGGAAAAAAAATCATAAAATCTTTTTAAAATATTCTTTTTCACCAGGTCGTTTCCTGGATCAAAATTAAAAACAACTAACCAAATAATTTGAGGTTAAACAAAAAAAAGACTGTGCAAGTCCTAAAACTCAGAAAAATGGATAGAAATCGGCTTATGATTTTGACTAATCAAGTGGGTGGGGGGGCGAATGACCCAATGAACTTTTGAAAATTGGTGTAATTTATCAAAGCTTAATACCCTCACTCATAAAATTATATATACTCTTATTTATTTATTTATGCCCCTAATAAAAAAAATTCTGCCTCTCCAACAGTTATTAAAAGAATCTGCTTCTCATCTTAGCATCCTCCTGTCACATGCATTTGAGTTATCCTTCATCTCGAAAAAATCACTGAGCAAAACGATCATAACACGTTTTTAAAGGCTTATGGGTGCAAAAAATGGAAATTGGTCCGCTTCTTGTACTTTTGTGCTTCCCCCTGGTCTCTTTGATGATTTAATTAATGACTTTAGATGATGATATTTAATCTCAGACAGTCAGACGAAAAGTATTTTGGATAAGAAGAAGCCTAACTACCTAAGAGCACCTCCAACAAGAAGTTTAGAAGGGGTTTTTAATCAATAAGTTAAATAAATAAAAAAAAAGTATGAGAAAGATTATAAAAAAGGCTTTTAAAATTCTTATATTAGAGTCCTATGAAAAAAGGGGATCTAACACTTGTCTATATTTTATTAGTTTGATTGTTTAACAATAACAAAATTAAATTAAATAATTAAATTATATTAAAATAATAATATTTTATTTTTGAGAACCTCCTTTTGAAGATCATTGATGGAAGTGGTCTAAGGTCTAAAAAAGCTTTATAAAGTCTCAACTTCTTTTGTTACTCAGATTTTTCAAGATCGTTATCGCTTCATCTTGACACTGTGAGCTATTAAGCTTATCGCTTTGTCGATGGACCAAATCTGTTTTAATATTTGCTTCCATGTGTTTATCCTTTTTTTTTGCCATTGAATCAATTCATAACTTAAAACTTTTTGTAAGACCAAAATTGTTCATTTTTCAATGATATTTACATTCTTCGCAAAAAAAAAAGGGAAAGAAATAGCGAAATGGGACATGGTGGTGTTTCACGGTTGAAAAAGAGATTTTGGGAGAGAAATCTGGAGGTAGGTCAGAGCAACATGCATACAAGAAGAGGGAAATTAATAAATTTGCATGGAGCAAGGGTTTTATTGCATGGGATACACCTATATCCACACCCTAATTGTTTGTAAACGTTACAACTTAGATTTGGTCCCTTTAGATTTTGTTTTTCGATGAGATTTGGTCCATTTAGATAAAACTAATTTATTGTACAAAAAAATCAAACCGAATAAATCGGGTAACAAAAACTTTAGTTCAATTCGACAATCAAACTAAATAAACCGTCTTTAGAATCGAACCGAAACTAAATTTTTGTCAATTTGGCAATATTTTTGTTTCTAACCGAACAGACCCATCATATCCTTTCCTAACCTAAATGATCGTGTGTAGTTAAGGACGACTGGTAATAATGTCGTTTAAACTATAATATCGAAATATAGATGACTTTTTCTCGATTAAAATTGCTATAGTTGCCTAGTTGATGGGGAATGGAAGAAGATTTGATGTATTTAATATTAAATAAATAAATAGATGACCGTTTCCTTTATTTAATTTACTTTTCCTTTTCTATAACATTATCGAAGTTGTTTCTCAGAAAGATACATACATATCACAAGTGGTCAAGTTCACATCGTTACAAAGGAAAAGTTGGAACACGATGTTAAATGCCATGATAATGTGTTGATTCGATCATCCTCTTTTGCCATAATGTTCAACATGTATGACTTCTTTCCGTATTTCCCTTAATACTTTTCAAAGATCTAGATTTACTTGTACTTCTTGTATAAAAATTTAGTTTTTCAGATCTACTAAAATTGATCTATAATTCATATATCTCACATATTCCAGACTTTCAAACTTATTTGCTTGCTATTAAGTACAATTTTATTTCCCAATAATAACCATCTTTTATTTCCATTTTCAATTTCTCTCACTTATCTAAACATTTTCTACACGTATCAAAATCTAACAAAATTTATAACAGTTTTAAGAATCACTTTCTTGTGAACTATAATGATTTTTAGTAGCAATTAGTGACAAAAAAATCATTTTTGATGGTACCCAAAAGGTAATATAATAAAGATGGATTGATATAAGAGATATAATATGAGAGAAAATAGAAGGACTAGTATTCAATTAAAATCCACTTGCTAATTGCATACACAATTGTCGACGTGTGAATTAGCTGGCAAAGAATATTATAATCTTTTTGGTCAACAAAAAAACGTGGAAAAACATTAAAAAATGGCCAATAAAAATCAAACCAAAATTATCCAATTTCTCTCGAACTTTACGTTTTCCATTGCCGTACGAATCAACGAGGTGCGTTTTCTTCTCTTCCTCGCTGCTCCGTCCCTCCCATTTCTTCCTTGGATTTACCGATTTCGTTTTCTGTTTTTCCTTTCGTAATTGTGCACAATGAATCGAAATTGTTGTTTCTGGGAAAGAGAAATTTGGTCGGAAACAAATAGAGAACGAAAAAAAAGAACAAAAAAATCGCGATTTGATGGGGATTTTGTGACTCAATTAATTGGATAATTATTGAGGTTTATATTTTTTTATCCTGATTTGCGAGAAAATCGCAAGGAAAAAAAAGAGGCAAAAAAAAAAACTAAAAATTGTGTTGACTTCATGTTTGAATCTGTCACGGACTTTAGGGTTTGGTTTCTCTGTGTAGTTTACAGAGTTTGTATGTTAGCGATTGATTCGTTTCTGTATTCTACATAAATTGTAAAGCTTTTACATGTTTACTTCTGTTCTGTTTTTACTTTTATAGAATCTATGTAATTTCTTCATTTTAATTGGTCGGAGAATTTTGATTGTTCATAGTAATTGGGTTTTGCCATAACATGTATCTCAATGTGAAAGATTTGAGATTTGAACTGGGTTTTGTCATAACATCTAATTCAACGTGAAAGGATTTGAGATTTGAATTGGGTTTTTGAAGTCTTGTGAAAATGTAAATTTGTGTTTTTTATATAACTTTGAGAAAGGTGTTTTCATATAGAAACAATGTAAGATGGGTTTGTTCCTCTTGCTATAAAAAAAATGCAGAAGCTTAAAGGCATTTGATGGAACAACCTAGTGACAACATCTCTCAAGAACAAGCTCGTGAGTCTCTCATAGCCATCTCTTACACTTCACCTGAGGAAGAGTCCTCAGATGTGAAACCTGTCATCATTACCACAAACGGATTCACCAAAAGAAACTCAGAGGATGCAGAAAAGCTCAGATCTCAGCTGATTTCAATCTCCTACGACGAGTCACCGTCACCTTCACCTTCACCGGATGTATCTGTTTCACCGGCTATCTCCAACGGTATCTGATAGGAGTTTATGTACAGATCATCAAAGTCTTTTCTTTCTATGCTTGCGACTTTGGTTTTGGTCTAAAAGTAGACCATTTGTGATATGTAAACCGTTTCTCCTTTTAACTATATGATGGAATATCAAATGAAAGTTCTCTTCTTTGTGTTCTAGACTTAAGACATGTCTTATTATTTAAAGCTCTCTTGAGTCTCATTGAATGATCTTTAAACCAAATTAGTATCACAGAGATACAAGCTGATAGAAGTAAGAAACATCAGAAGTGAAAGATTGAAACTTTAGCATGGATTCTCTTGTTTTGCTCTTTTGTTCAGGACATTCAACTCTCTAGTGAGCAGCGTCTTCCTCTTCGCAGAACTTGGTGTACTCCTTTGGACCCATCAAGGATTCCAACTCTGCGGGGTTGCTTGGTTTCACCTTTATCATCCAACCATCTTCATAAGGGCTTGAGTTGATCTACACAAATGAAAAGACCGACGAATCAGTTTTGATACGCGCCACGCCAGACACTGAGTTATTATCGTTCAGACGAAAAAACTTACCAAACCAGGTGAATCGGTGAGCTTTGTGTTAACCTCAATGACTTCCCCAGAGATTGGAGATAGAATCTCACTTGTGGCCTTCACACTCTCCACAGCTCCAAAGTTTTTTTCTTTGCTCACTGCACTTTTTTCTTCTGGCAGCTCCACAAACACAACTTCTCCTAAATGGCCCTGCACAACATCAACAAATAGATAATCTCTCTCTCTCTTTCAGACACTAATCAATAAATCTGATCCAAACCAGTTCTGAAGAGCTATGTTTTTGTTACCTGGGCATGGTCAGTAATGCCAATGGTAGCCACAGAGCCTTCATGTTTCACCCACTCATGTGAATTTGCATACTTAAGTCCTTCCAACACTTAAAACCCAAAACAGCCACTAAGAGTTTTCATACAGAGTCCTATAACCAGAGCAATGCAAGACACAAGTTGTGTAAAAGGATGTTGTTGTTTATTTTACCTGAGGAGAAGCATCTGGAGATGGAGAAAGCTGGAAGGAGATGAGATTTGGAGGCAGAAGAAGAGAGCTTGAGAGCGTTTGCTGTAGAGGAAGCCCACATTCTCAGTGCCATTCTTTTCTGGTTTCTTTCTTTTTCGTTTGTTCTGTTTTCTCAAAGGAAAGTGGGAAAATGGTAATGTGAGCTTCTTAATGGCTTTTCTTTACTTTTGCGTTCTATCTTTAGATGTATGGCAGAAAACGAAGGCCTCATCTTAAAGGTGTCGTCGAAAAAAGTGTGACCCAAACCTTCTCTATGAGTCGGAGGGTTTTTAGTTTAGTCCTTTTGGATGGGAAAACTTTTAGGAGCAAAGTTCTGGTGTATTGTATTATAGTATTGGAAACTATAGGGGGTTTAATTAAAAATTAATAAATATTTTTTTATTTCCGAAAATAAAATTGACTAAAAAAGCAGTGAAACTAACAAACTCAAACTTGGAAATTCTTTTGCTTAGTAGTACGTAGTAGCTAAGGATTTCATATCGTTTTGTACAGTTTGAAACCACTTTATATTAAAATTTTCTATGAGCGTTTGCTGTGGTGGGTGGTTTTGGAAGATGCCAAGTTTGCTGGGCTTTGTGTTAAACATGTCTAAGAGCAATGCCATTGTAATAGCAAAAGTTTGTCATCATCACATACGGAAAAGTAAAATCAAAGCAAGAATCATGGCAAAGAAAAATAAAAAGAAAATAAACAAGAATACCATATGAGGTCTTCAAAGAGCCTTAAAACTATATCATTACGAAAAGAGGAGTTAATTAAATGTAGTATAACCAGAAAAAAAAAATATGAAAAGCCAAGAGAGTGATGAAGCTCACACTAAACTTGTAATTGACAAGTCACACTCACAGCTAAAATAGCTAAGACTTGATCTTCTTATACATGAATTTTGCTTGGCCTAGAGGATATGATCAGCCAACAATGATTCAACACCTGTCCTCGCTCTAGGTTAGCTAATAACTCGTACTTCTTAGGCAAGAGGATTCTCGTCTACTTCTTCTTCACAGATGGAGAAGAATTGCAGAGGTTCGTTAGCATGCGTTGAGATCCTCTACGTGGTCTACAAAAGCGTGAACCATACCATGATTCGTAAAACCTTGGATTTCAATATTTTGGAGAGTGTTCCTTTCGGGATTGAAGTAGAAAACATAAAACGGGTAACGTGTAAAACTCATCGATAACACAATGTCACCTGTAGCCGTCATTCCAGCCACGTAAACACCATCAACGAATTTATCATTCGGAAAAGTGAAGAAATATCTTGACCATTCCTGTTTATCAGCATCCTCTAGAACCCACATATGCAGCTCAGGCGTTCTAATACCATCGTAAACATTAGAAGTATCCCAACGAATCCAACCTAATTTACCCTTATAACCTATCATAGTAGCCCTATCAAAAGAATCCGGCGCCCTAATGAATTTGTATATCTCAGACTTAACATCAAAGCAAACTATTACTAACACATATGTTCTATCAATTGGAGCAGCCATGTAATATAAAACTCCATCGATGCATATCCCCTTTTTGGTGGAAGGATGATGGTTTGAGGGACACTGGGTCTTCCTCCAGCCCATTTTTCCATTTCCTAATGTTACAATTCGATGATCATTATTATAAGCCACGTACAATACCTTGAATTGCTTGTCCACCGGATCAAACCCTAAAAAGCTTTTCGACCCTCTATCAGTTCTCAGTTTAGGTAATCTAGCACGCTGTCCTGTGCTAGGGTTACAGATCACATGCACTGTTTCATAACCATTCTTTCCTGAGATCCACCTATGACGGCGGCAACAGATTAAACCAGAGGCATAGCCACCAAAAGTCCTGCCACATCTCTTTAGGACACTTCAAACGAGCATCGGCTGCAACTACATGAGACGCCTTATTCTCAAACGACAAATTATGAGGTTGAGGCAACGAGAAGAAGTGAACATAATGAGGGTGATAAATTCCTTGGATAGCGAATAAGAGACGTGGACGAGCCGAAGACATGGTCATGAACAACTCGGTGAAATCTGGATGGCAAAATATGGACTCCCATAGCTTCGACACGAAGTGTCGCGATTGACTTTGTAGGCAATCTCGAGCATATCTCGAGAACAATATCGATCGCAGAGAAGAGAGTTTGGTGCCCTAGGGCATTTACAAACGGAACCAAATCAAGGTTTGGTTAATATGTTTCGATTTCGGTTTAAAGGCATAAACCGATGGAGCCTTGGATGAATCTAAAACGTGATTTCTTTTGTCTATTGGATTGCATTGGATTGCTCTATCTTTGTATCTTATTAGAATGTTGTGTAACTAATTGATTTCCTCTTCTCTGTTAACAATATAACAGGCGGCTTCTATCTTCTTCTCCATGAATCAACTAATGTGTTGTAAGTATATGTATAACCTTCTTTCACCATCTTATCTCTGTCAGCAAAAGCTGTCTCCAAACCCCCTTTGTTACTACAATCAAGTAGGAAACAGAGTACGGAACCAAACCCATCACCTTCATCTTCCTCACCTCACTCAGAGACAGAATTGGGACTTGTAGAGTGTCCAAATCTGGTTGATAAACTATACCTTAAACCAGAGTGTCTGGTTGGTTAACGTTAGCCTTTTTCCAAATTTTGAATTTCCCTTTCTTGCACAATACGTTTCTCATCATAATGTTACAGTTTCACACTGGTCTAGTTTTAGTTTTTTTTTTTTTTTGGTTTACATAAATGCAAGGCTCTATTTTTTGTTTGTTTCAACTTGTGAGGTTGTAAAGCACACAAATCCCCAGTGGTGTAGCCTCTCGCATGTGATATTCTCGAGGCTTACAGTCTTGCCATAAAAGCAGAGGCTGTTAATGCTTTTGGTGGTAGCGTAGTGTACGAGGTAATTTGAAAACAATATTTACTACTCCCTCCGTTTCATGATAAGTGTCGTTTTAGATTTTATTATTTGTTTCAAAAATAATGTCATTCTGCATTTTTAATGTAATTTTTTTACTTTTATTTCCTATACTATCCCTTATTTAAAGATAATAGTCTTTGTAATTAAATGTTATAAAAAGTATATTAATTAGGGATATATTTATATATTTTCTTAATTTCTTAATCTGTGTGAAATGTGTCAGACACTTATTATGAAACGGAGGGAGTATTAAATCAGTAACAAACAGAACTTGTCTTTGACCCATAACATAATTCAATCCTCCTCCATCTGTTTTTTAGGTTCTTGCGAGGGAGATTTGAGTGTTAAGGGTAATGAACAATTGCATGTTGGGAATGGGAAGCGCGCCACCGAATCGAGTAGAGAGCTTTTGAGAATTAGCTTTTAGGAAAGTCGAGTAGCTTCACTGGCCAGTGATGCATTCTTCCCAATTTGGTATTCAAAACCGTAGTTCTTCTCCTCATAATGGATTTTGATGGTTTTTCTTAATGGAATCAGCTAAATTGAGATGCGGTGAGAAAACTTTTATTGCTGCAACAAGAAGTATGGAGTCTCTCTGCTCTTCACCAATAACAATACATTTCAGCCATTAGATTTATTAGATTCTGAAGAAAGTCTCTACAAGAAATGATGAGTGGTAGATCTTGTAACATTGAAACCTTATGAGATATGATTCTGAATCCTTGAACAACTGTCCAAAACGCCGAGATCTCTCTGTGGAAGATTTTACTTTATGTAAACCACAGCAGGAAAAAAAATTCAAAGCAGAAAAAAAAAAAAACAAGAATACCATAAGAGGTCTTAAAAGAGACTTTAAACCTTGTCATTATGAAATGAAGAGTTGATTAATGTAGGAACTAGGAAAATAATATGAAAAGCCAATTGAGTAATAAATTCACACTCACAGCCAAAATAGCAAAGACTCTTGTTTTTTACATGAAAATTTTGCTTGGTCTAGAAGATCATCAAAATAGCCAAAATAGCAAGTTGTTAGTTAGGATTAGGATTTTGAATTTAGATTCTCTAGGATTAGTTTATAAGGAACTTATGGCATTTGTAAAAGGAGGATATTATTGACTCAATTAAAATCAAAGAGCTTTTATAGCACTACGAAAAGTACTCTTGCTCTTCTGTTTTAGTCGAATTCCCATCGTCTAAAACAAACCCTTGAGATCGATTCGTGTTCTTCATTGCGAATACGTTTGGTCTTTGTCGATCGGTCCGTCCTGAGGTCATTCGTGTTCGTCGTTGCGACTACGTTTGGTCCTTGTCCATCGCTTCGTCTTTGAGATCGACAGCATTCGTCGTTGCGATATTCGTCTTTCGCTCTGCTTTTGAGATCGACCGCGTTCGTCGTTGCGAACACTTTTTGCTCATCGTCTGTCGCTCCACCTTTGAGATCGACCGCGTTCTTCATTGCGATTTAGTCTGTCGCTTCCGCCCTCTTATCATTGAGGCAACGAGTAAAAGCTCCACGTTCCTGCTGTTTCGGTCGCAAATAAGAGACGTGGACGAGTCAAGGAGCTAGTTAGAAACGACTGGTGAAATATGGAAGGTGAAGCATGGACCCCATAGCTTCGACATGCAACGAAACCTTCCCACTGACTTTGCAAGGCAATCTTGACAGTATATCGTGAATGAGATCAATCGGGATGGAATCTGAATTTTCTCCTCTCATCATAATCTTTCGTACTTTGCTGATCGGATAGAGAGATATATGAATACAAATCATAAATCACAGAGACTCTAACATATCTTCGCTTAGGGCATTTGTTTTCAAGAACTAGCTTATAGTGCAAGCAGTGCCGTGCTTAGAGTATTAGGGGCCTAAGGCAAATGACAAAAAAAAATTTCTATTTTGCTCTAATTATTTCTAAAAAAATATAAATTGTAAATCAGATTTAAATATTATTTTATAAGATATTATAAAGTATTAATGCTTTTTATTAATTTATAATAAATTTTCAACCACAAAAAATAACACAAAAATATATATTAACTAATATACTAATTTTCTTTTTTTTTAGACACCAACCAATATACTAAATAAAAATACAAAATTAAAGGCCCTAAAACTTGCTTAATATTAAGGGGGCCTAAGGCAAATGCCTTATTTTTTGTTCATTAAGCACGGCTCTGAGTGCAAGGCACATGATAAGTAAAAAAGTTAAAAGAATAGTTGTTTTGATTCACAAATAGTTTCTCCTTAGTTTTTTTTTGTTTTGTTTTAGTATTTGGTCTAGGTTTTGATTTCATATATATTGAGGGGAAAATGGATTG